CTTTACATTTTTTTTCAGGTGCCTCATATATTGATCTTGGCTTTTTGTTTTTTGTTACTAAATGAAAGCTGCTCTTTCTCCAAAGGTAWTATAAATTATTAAAGATAACTTGTTTTTGGTTATTTCTATTTATTATTTTTATTTATTATTATTTTTGGTCTAAAATCATAAGGAATCTGAAAGTCATAACATTTAATGTAAATATCAAATTAATTAAATGAGAGATCATCCCTGATATTTWTTTCGAACTGTCTATTACTAGGGCCTTCTGAAAAAGATATCAAGAAAGATATCCCACCGTGTCTGATATAGTGTTGATATAGTTGTATGCATTTGAAGCGTGCATAATTTTTGCAAATGGCTATGTATATGTGTGTTCTTATGTGCGGGTGTTTACTGTACTTGTTCGCCATATTCATTTCATTTACTCGGAATAACATGTATCTCGACCAAACTATTTAACTATTAAGAGAGAATTCTTTTCGTATTCAAGCAGTGAGCGCAAACAACTTTTTTCTTGAAGAAAGGCTGTTGTACAAGAATAAAATCTTGTTATTCAAAAAGTTTAACTTGTTTGGAAGTGGAGATGACCGATGAAAGTGGAATCAAAGTGTTAACCCAAAGCAAAAMTTTTAGTCGAAAATGCGGTGTAGGCCTTCATTTGCTTATTTGCCATTTTTCTATAAAAAAGCTTGACAAAGCAACATTCTAACACAAATGCAACAAAACATCTTTGTACAATTGAAAATACCGCTTAATACAGGCATTTTATCATAGTACATCAGTTTTACTGTTTAAAAAAGGTTTTGGGTGTTACCCCAAAACGAAAATTGGGATCAAAACTCATACGAAAGTCTAGTTTTTGGCGCTTTTTGCCATTATTGCTCATKATTGAAAAAAAATGTATTCTTAAACAAAAGAAGTTCTCCAGGCATTCTTACATTGTCTAGTCTTCCATTCTCGTATCAAACCTTTCCGCTTTGTAACGAAAAAATATTGCGAAGAGTCTGGGTATGAGAATGTTTCGAATAAGCCTTTTTTTCCCGTTGCTAGAAGTCTAGATGTAAKATGTTTTATTTTTTTCCGGTCCGGCATCCTAAAAAATCGTGCGTTCTGATTGGCTGTTTTAGCGGGCGGTATTTTGTAAGTATGTGCCCGCGCTCGCGGTTCGGTATCCTTTGCTGCTAAACAACAAAACGAAACGATTATTTACCGTTATTATTTAAGTCATTTACCGTCCTATGTTCGGTCCGGATAGGAAAAAACTGTACCTTCGGTCTTGAAATGGTCTTGAAAGCGTTTATTCAAGACCTCGGGCACAGTTTTTCCCTATCCGGACCTCCTGGCCGGTAAATAACATATATTTATTAAAATAATATCCATTTGATAAATGAATGTCCACAATTCTTTTGATTGGTTAAAACAAATAAACTGTCCAATATTGCTTCTGCAACTCATGGTCTGGTTGTAACCGCCGTAGCTCCGTAAGATCTGGGGTTTAATGACATTTTACCCTTTTTTTTGCAGGAAAGCCACCAAGTTTTTGCTCATTTGACAATGGGTTTTGCGGATTTGTTAATGATCAATCTGGCACCGATGACTTTGACTGGATACGACTAAAACATGCAGGAGAAACGGTCACAAGATTTCGCATTACAAGATATTTAATAAGACATATTAGTAGACCAATAGGTGGTAGGTTGAATGCAAATGTTATAGTTTTCTATCCATGTACGCGATACTGTGAGGCCATTGGTGCCCCGTGGATGTGCTGATAAAACCTTCCATTGAAAACAACATAAGTGTATGCGAAACAGAATGTCAAAAGTAGTGATGCCATTTCACCTGGTGGAAGCCGCATTCTTTTCCGTAATGTCCGCTCCATGCACCGGCAGCCCAATCTCCTGTTCTGTGGTGCTTTAGTATTTGAATGTTAAATCCGAAATATTAACGTTAACATTAAAATCACTACAACACCACAGAACGAGAGGTTGGGTGCCTGTGCTCCATGAGTGGGAAAATTTAATGCAGTCACGGGGTCATCATCATCATCATCATCATCATCGTCATCCATCCTCGTCCTCGTCCTCGTCCTCGTCCTCGTCCTCGTTGTCATTATCATTATTTTCTATTTACAGGGTTTCACATTCCTGGTTTCCCTTTCTATGGGCGTCCTGTATGGGAAACGAAGAAGGTTCCCTATCTTGTGAATATACGTGGGCCTACGAGAGATACTACTGGAAAAGGTTCGGACCTTTTAATTAAATGAAAGATGAATAAACAAAAGATGAATCACTGATCAGCAGGCTATTTKCTTAGTTGTTTTCTTATTTCATTTATGCGGTTGGCGTGGTGGTTAGAATGTTTGCCTCTCACCAATGCGACCGACCAACGTTCGTGTCTTGTCAATCTCGGTGTTGTATGCGAGAAGAGCAGCTTAAATTCAAAAGAATTGAATTCAAGCTTTTAACGGTCACATACAAAGCTATAAACGGTATCGCTCCAACCTATATAAGTGATATTCTCAAAATACACCAACCTACTCGTAAGCTAAGGAGTGCCACACAAGGAGTATTTTTTAGAACAATCTCCATATCGTACTAAGTCATATGGTGCGCGTTGCTTTGCCGTAGCAGCGCCCAGACTATGGAACCGTTTACCACCAGATATAAAAACATCGCAGTCTTTGGAAATATTCAAGAGAAAACTAAAAACATTTTAGTTCAATTTGTAACTTTAATCTATTTTTTCACTTAACATTTCATCGTTATATTTGTAAAGCGCATTGAGAAGCTATAATGTGCTATATAAGAACATATCATTATTATTACTGCTTTTCTCTCCAGAAACTAATAAGGGGGTTGGAACGTTTAACAGTCATACATTTCTTTTTTACGACGATGCTCCGGAATATTTTTCTTGACAAATTTCTTTTCAGTATATCAAGTCTTCTTGCTTTAAAAATTACCAAAACTAAATYAGACAGATATCCGAATTGTTTGATTGAAAGATTCAGTAAATTTTCTCTGAAAGTCAGGAAATTTAGCTAAAATGTGATATGTGATAGAAGCAGTTTTCTTAAATCAAGCGTAAAGTTCCAAATATGGTATCAAAATCTCTAATTTGCATATCTGAATATTCTGGAGCATGGTTATAGTATGCCCCTTATGAGTTTCTTTTCCCTCCTGCCTGCTTCGAAGGGTTTTTCGGGTTCTCAGGTTTTCCTTACTATGCAACAATCAATTTGAGTTCTTAATTTCGATTGCAACTCAGTGAATAAAAAGAGCCACTTTATGAAAATGCCACTGCTGAATCCGATATATATATATATATTAATTTTATTGCTTTTATATTTTATTTAGGATTTTTTTTGTACTCAAAGCCCCGACAAGAAAGTGCGAAAG